GAGTGAGACATGGGGCATGCTACCGTACTGCCTCTGCTGTAATCTTTTCTCAGTGGTTACGCCACATCTGTTTGCATTATTGCCAGACAATATAAACCGAATACAGTCAGAAACTTGGCAGCAGTAGAAGAAATACAGGCACAAAGAGAGACCGCTGTAACACGCATGCACGATGTGGGCTGTAAAACAGAGCTAGTGACAGTAGCCAATGCCCAAATTGTGTTATTAAAAGGGGCAAGGGCAATATATACAACAATGAGCCATCTGGACCAGGCAGCAGTTCATCACTGGCAACCCAAACAGGTCATCGCCTACATCCACAGGGGCTACAGAGGAGAGGATGGAAAGAGAGAGAAACTCTTTACACCGTAAACATCCTTCAGTAGTGCAGATTTTTGCATTTTGTCATGCCAATAGCATATCAATGAACTGAGAGAAACAAGATCAGTGAGTTGGAGATGTGAAAGTTGTAAGACAGGATGGAGTAAAGCACAAGCCCACATTTCCATATGAAATGATGCTGTCCTTTCCTTTTACAGTCTGATTTGTTTTACTACCATGCAAGTACTTAAAAATCAAGTGAAAGGCACGACCTGTCAAAGATGTGCCCTTAAATTCTATCTGCCATTGTCTCACAGAGTATAGAAGAAAGGGCTTAGTGTCCACATACAGGCTGGGAAAGGGACGGCAAGAGGTAGATGTGACTGTGAAACCAGAAGCATGTGGTTCAGACTTGTCACAAATTGTTACAGTGAGCGTACCCTGGATAATCCTCTTTTGTGAAACTTAAGTGACCAAACACATGCAAAATGGACTTTTGAGAGGCTGAGCACAGAGATTGATCAGGAAAGTCTTTACTGAGGGCACGTGCAAGGGCTGTTTTCTCAGACTTGTACAGGACGTTTCTTTTCAATTGCAGTTATTGCTCCGTTGGTGGACATATAAAAAGAACGCAGGTTTCAGACACAGAAGCATCATCCATCATTTATGCTGTCTTCTTGTAAGCAGAGTTCATTTTATAAAAAGGTATTAAAGTTTGAATCTCTTCATAACCCGAATATCATTTTTGATTTATTTTGCAGTTCAAAAATAGACGTGCACTTTTGGCAGTACTTGCAGGCACAGCACACACTGTACAGCAGTCGTTCTACATCATTGGCATTATTGTCGGCCACGATGGTGGCCAGAAGCAGAGTCCGTGAGTCATCGTGTTTGGGGGCAGTTACATCTGTGTTTAGATCTGTCCATATGAGATCAGATCACCAAGACGCACTCGAGTGCTGCATGTGAACCGGGTCGGTGTTTCCCTGTGCACTAAGCTAGCTATCACTTTCTCTCCTGCTGACAGATTGCAGCTCACAGTAATATTTAGTTTTCTTCTTGGTTGGCTCAGTTATACACATGTTTGTGTTTTTAAAGAGAATATGGTCGTGTGTGTAGGAGGAGAAAATTGACTAACAGACCTGGATTTAAAAAAGAGTTTCTTGTTTGACTTGTTTAAGCTACAGAGAGCATCATTTTGTTTGAATCTGCTGATTTAGTGTTTGGGTGCTTAATGCTATGCACAGACCTGCTGCACTGTGGCAAGCAATGTGAGGGGGAAAGTCGATAGAACAGAATGAAGAGAAAAGGCAGTGAGAAAGTGAGGTATGGTGTCAGTGAGGGCAGCTGGTGGTACAGCCTGCAGCCAGATGAGGCTGAAATCTGAGACTTGCTTAACCACAGAGGCTGTGGAACGGAGGGAGCAGAGAGAAAGAAACACAAGTGGGAGAGCGAGAGAAGGAATGTCCACCTAAGAAGGGGAGCGAAATACGCGAGCTTGAGGCAGGCAAAAATGCAAGAAAGTATACAGACGTGTACATACGCTGTCTGTATACTTTCTGTATGTATATTTTCAGGCGCAAATAAAATTTGTCAAGTGTCAGCTGTGTGAGGAGAGAGGGTTATGTGTTTGGGTAGGGAGTTGTCAGGGGAGAGCGGGGAGGGTGTGAGCGAGGCTGCTGTTTGGACTGACATTGGATGCCGGCTTAGCTTTGCTCTCTGTCTTTCTCACAAACGCACCCAGCAGCAGCGACACCAACCACACTCGTGGGGACGGAGGGAACTTCGCTCAGTGAGGGAGTGACTTTATTTGGGACGCTTTCTTTGTTTCCTTCTCTCGCAAGTCTTATCATCTTAAGAAACCAAAAAAGCAGAGCTTTGTTTTCCTATCAAACTTTTTTTTTTTTCTACCTTCCAACTCAAGTACACTGGACAGGATTTGTTTTTCTATCAAAATCACCTCTGTTTGACTGTGGGAAATGTTCCTGCCCCCAGCAAACCTACAATTTCAGAAGGTGGTTGTTGGATGCATTTGTACCTGTTAGATGTTGCAGTGGTGTAGTGCCAAACAGTTCCTGAAAATTTGGCACCAGGAGAAACAAAGGTGGAACCTGCTAAAGGATAATTATCCAGTGTTGAAGAAACTACTGTGAGTTGGCTAAACTGCCTTGCTTTGCTGTCTGTTCCTGTATTGACCGATTAGGCCGAAACAAGGGAGTGGCCGGCTGACCACACACCAACAGACTGCTTACAGACTTGATTTTCAAGGTTTTAATTTTAACAGAAAACAAATCTGATGGTTTGTGTCGAAGCATTGCAGTGAAAACATCGGTGACCTGCTATTTTTGTTTTGTTTTTTTCATCTCTCTTTCCAGCCTTGGCCACTCTGTTGTGCCATCTCCTCTGAGAACTCATTTTACCAGCTATTAAGGATCAGTTTGCCTCTCTGGACACAGTTCTTTCATTTCAGCTTACCCCAACCCTCATGAACTTGTTCTTCTCAAATGGGTGAGCAGGAGGATGAAACATGATCCTGTGTTTGGGGCAGCAGTAACACTGTGTGGTTTCCATGGAAAAGGCCAGAGAAATATGGCGCAAAGGGAGCGTATAAATGCCTTACCTCTATGTCTGTGGTACAAGTGAAATCGAAGCCGGCTACTATATCGCTGCAAGCTCCACCCTGGAACTCCTTGCTCAGACTCTTCTCATGTGTAGCCACAAGGAGTGTGCACAGGACTAAAGGTATTACACTTAAAACGGTAAAGCACACTAAAAGCCCCCTCTCCTCCCCCCATCATCAGCTCAATGCATTTGTCCGTGTATCTGCAGGGTAAGATGTTGTACAGTAGTGTAAATTCTAGTTGTAGCTTTGTTAGCATCAAGCTGACAAATTGATTGGCCTTTCTGTTGCTCGAGCGTAGCTGGTGAAAGTGTGTTCTGTATGTTGTGACAAAATGTGCTGAATAGTTTCTTTGTGGGTGAATACAGAGGAGCCTTTCAGCAGGCGGCGCCTGCGTGCATTGTGAATTACACTGTATAGTGTGCATGAAAACTTGGAGCCACTTAAGAACAAAGAACGGCATGTTTCTTGAAGCCTAGCTTGTTTTTGGCCTCCCCCTCTACTCGTGGTGTCTTTTTACCGCTTGTATCTGTTTGCATTCTCTTATTCCCCCGAGTGCTTATTTTCCGTATACTTCAACTTTTCCTGGCTTCAGTGTGCAGCATATCTTAGCTTCTCTTAGTGCCCCCCCCTTTTTTTGTGTCCTTCTGTTTTCACATGTACACGAGGTGCTATGTAGTTGTGTTTTGTTTTTGTTTTTTTTCCAAGGTATGTGTTTGTTTTGTCTAAAGCAAATAGCTTTAAAAAGGCTGCAGATTAACCTAAAGGAAATGTTGTTTTCATAATGCCCACATGGTGATTTCCGTTATATCAGATCTTGTCAATCTGGTATCCGTTGTGAAAGTCAGAAATGAATTAGGCTCTCTAATCTAAAATGGTTGATGAGTAGAAATACAAATCTAAATTGTTTTTTCTTAGCATGGTAAAAGCTTTCAAAGTGTGCTCATCCATTAAACTAACAGTGGCTAGATTTACTAGCAACCATGAGTTTGTTCCCCGTTGTGCACAATGAGATGAGCCCAGGCATATCTGAGAGCAAGAGTCACCATTTAGTACTGAAGATGAGAGCTACTTCAACAACCTCCAACAAGGACACAGTACTTTGCTACATGTACAAGAAAACTGTCCAGATTAACCTCCTAGGACCTGCGTCCACATATGTGGACATCACATTTTGGGTTATTTAGACCAAAATACTCAATTTTGCTCTACAAGGACCTGATATCCACTTACGAGGACATTATACTGCCACTGTTCTATCGAAATTTTAAACAAATATCCTCATATGTGGCTCTCATTTTTCTTAGAAACAAAAATCAGGTAATTCTTTGTTTTTACATTCATCGGGTCCCAATATGCCCAAATATCATAGAGAAATTTAAAATGCATGCTGTGGAAGAGTTCGGGTCTTAGGAGGTTAAAGGTGTAAACGACAAGTGTTTCTCCACCTTTAGCCAGCACAAATACACTGAAGGTGTAGCCAGACTTTAAAGGACGAGAAGCTAGCAGCCGGTGACTTGGGACCGAAATGTAAACACACGACTCACCCAGCGTGGCAGGGGTACTCACTAACTGCGCTTCATATGACAAGAATAACAAACAGTGGATGCAAATTACTGATGTGGTTAAGCAGCTGGTTTGAATAGCTTGACCCAACATCTGAGGTACAAACTTTATTTTAGTTTAGAGTAACTTCCAGAGCATTCTCAACAGTCACATAAGTTATTGTTAAACAAATATGTTTTACCTGAAGTATCTAGGAACAATTTCACCCAGGTTACTTTTGTACTTTTGTGCTGCGTCACTAGATATAATACTGCTTCTCCTGGCATCTTGTTTCAAAAGATTGCCCCTTCAGTATCCGGTCTTTAAGTGATGATGTATGAACCCTGCTTCTGGGTCCAAACTACACTGCGTTTATTAAGGCTGGAGTGGGGAAAACAGTTAGCTTCACTGCTAATGTGTTTATATCATGCTAACATAGCTGTGTAGCTACCTACCACACCACGTAGCACATTATTATAGAGCAGCTAGCCCAACTTCAGTAACCCTACAACCGTCACTGCTGTTTAGTTTTCTGTCTTCATTTATGTTGGAAGTGATAGCAGAGCTGTACGTCTTAATTTTTCAGAAACCCCTCAGTCAGAACATGCTATATCATGTTTAGGTGGAAGCTAGCAAGCTAACTTCCTGCTTACTTCTAACTCTGTTAACCTTCATAAACTCTGTTTTCACGGATGCCTGGATGTTAAACCTATTTGTTACACCTGGTAAAGCAGCCACACTGCTCATTTTATTAAAGGTGAAAGGATTTAGACAGTTTGTAACTCTCAGTGATGCCGTAGTGTTCATTTGACTCATTTAAAAAGGATTGAAAATGATCTTTTATTTAGTTGCAACTATAAATGGTGCTGCCTGCAAGCTGCAAGTATCAATAAAATGTTGTGACCAGCTTTTTGTCTGGATTATTCTATATTGAAGTAAAATGGGCATGATATTTCTGGCCATATCGACATATGATAATTTGAGGCGATATCACCCACCCCGAATTACAATGACAAATGTGCACTATATTAAGGGTAGAATGAAATTTTCCCTGGCAGATGACAGCTGTGTTGTGAAATGTGCATATGTGCACAGTTTAGCCCGCATGCAGTCACCTCTGTCGTGTATCCCTTTTTTCTGGGTCATACTCATTTGCTCCTTTTCAGAGTTGTAACAGAGGCATTGACTGAACAATACTGGGGAAAATGTGGAGTAGGGCAAGACAGCACAGTGTGAATCTATTTTTTAAAAGTCTCGTGCTAATGTATGGTGCATTAGCAGCACAGTGAGTGGCTTAAATGCCTTGAAAGGCTGGTTGTAGTCCGCGGAAGTGCACTAAATCTGCCGTGCCCCTCCTGATCTCCTATAGCCAGCTGGCACCATTTTAAAAACTAGACTGTCATGATGGAAATCCAGCTTATCCGGACTGACTTGAGCATGTTATTAAACATTGTCAGAAATTACAAAGCCAGGCTTCATGTTTAGCTGGTTGAAAAATGTGTGTAATTTGGTGTACTTGATGGTTATTATTCCTGTTATATGGTCGGAACATTGTTACGGTGGGATCGGTCTGAGCCAGTATCCCTCTAGCTTTGCTTTTCTAACTTGTGTTTGTTTACTTTGCTCCCTTTTCTTTTTCAGAGGTCCCCACATTTCAAGAGGAGACGAAAACCTTATTTGGAAATCTTATGGACGAAGGTGTGTATTTTAGTTTTTCCCCCTGTTCATCTACAGTTATAGTGCTTATACCAGTGTTTCCAGCAGGCTTTTTAACCGCATCTGTCCTCATTCCTTTTGTAGTCCTAGCTACGGGGTGAGTTGTTTCCTGTTTTGGGAATTTGGTACTCTTAATTTACTTCACTTGGACAGCACCTAACACACTGTAATTGTCTAATGTAACACATGGAGGGGTATGCAAGATGACTTTTATTTCACCTTTTTGTCAAACGTGCATACACTACTTTGTGATCGCCTATTTTCTAAACAGAACGTTGCATAGCTTTTCCCTTTTTGTGCTTCTCCTGAACACGGCAGGCTGTGTGCACAGTCATTGTTTGTGTCTGTTCTGTCATCCTCCTGTCCATCCTCTCGACACAGTGCAGTATCTCTCTCTGTCTGGTTAGCTGACTCACTGTTTCTGTCTCTTCAGTCTCTTTGCACACACGATTTTTACCTTCTTCGCACACCTTTTGCTGCACCCTTCTCGGTAATGTATAATTTTGCTATAAAGGAGAAGAGTCGTCCTGAATTACTCAACAGTATCAACAGTGTGTTTAGTTTTTTTTTCCTTGGTTGGGGGTGGGGTTTAAAAGTAAATTCAGGCTGCAGAAGTCATTTCTAAGCCACCTGCTAACAACAAAAGTTTGCTGCTCGTCTATTCTTTTCCTTTTTCTTGGGAGCAGCACCCCCTTGGCCTCTCATGTGTCAGCTAAACAAGTGATGCTATGTTTATCCCTACACACTCCATTTAGCTCTGCATGTCGCAGCTTGTTGTAGCCTTATATGCTGCAAACTACTTATTGTTTCATCATATGTAATGTTCAAGCCAGGAAACTACAAAGGAGAATAATTCGGTATCCTCTGGTTTGTTGGTGGGATTTTGTGCTAAAATTCCAGCTGTTGTTAATAGTAATCTCTATAATATTACCACTATCAACACAAAATAGCCCAATATCTGCACTTGTACTGTGTGTGTGTGTGTGTGTGTGTGTGTGGCAGCGCTGCTTCTCAGCTGCTAGACTACAAAACCCTTCTCCCCCTTTCATGGCCCCTTGGTTGAGGTCCAGTGATGATCTATTTCAGTAAAGTATGTTGAGCCATACATTAGCTCTGTTCAGTAATGCAGCCAGTATTCTTCAATAAGATGGTGCTGCAGTGTACTCTCGTGTGACAGAAGCACTAATCAGCCACGCCTTAAGCACACAGACGTCCTTTCACAGAAACACAGCTGGTAGCTGACCTCCACATTTACCAAAGTAGTAAGTTCATGTCCTTTTTTCCCTTTCCCCACTCTCACATGAGCACATGAGGTGCATGGCACAGTTGTCGGAGTGAACAGAACAGATTCTACATTTTCATGATCATGTTAAGACTACATTCTGTTTTATTTTGGTGTGTTTTTATGTGGACACCAATTATTGACAAGTACACACGTTTTATAAAGGTCTCAATAGATCTACAACAAATGACTCTGCAGTTGTGAAGAAACTATTGTCTTCAAGCATAAGCGCTAAGCTGGTGATGCTACCACATGCTGGATATTTCAGTCTTGCCTTTGCAGAAAGTCCTGAGCTAATTTGGTCTCACTGTTCCTGGTGCTGTTGCTAGCATGCTAGCTAGCAAAGGCGTTCTATTAATTGCTGCTAAGGCAGTATCTCCATCGCAGCAGATGTGTTTACAGACAGGCAGGCAGGCACAGGGAGCACTAGCTAATACAGCCTCTGATTAGATCCAGTTTTTATTTATTCTTTATTTATTTTTTTAACCTCAGCACATGGCATGAGTGTGTGCATGTGAGCATGCAGACAAGATTTACCGTAGCAGGTGAGGCAGTGCTGCCTACTGGTACCAGCTACTAAGCTAGACATAAGAGGGATGCTTACACAAGTAATGATGGCGTAGATAAAACCATCACATTCGACACTCGTGGCTACAGGTTTACGCTATTATCTGGCAAATGACTCCGCTGTCAGCAGGAAATGAAGTAATTATTACTGCTAAAACATGGGTTTTCAGTGCTGTTTGTGGAGAGCTGGAGCTTGTGCAAAGAGAGCGCATTCAAACTTATGTGGCTCTAAAATAGCGCAGTACAGCGGCGGCCTTAGTGGAGGATGGTCTCAAAGTGACTGTCTTATTTATTTGGTTTTTCTAAAGGTCTTCAAAAATTGCTGGTTATTGCTAGTTCTTTGAATCACCATCAAAGGGAAAGAGGAAGTGCTTCCCTTCTGTAAAAACAAGGACCCAAATGTTTTATCAAACATCATAATTTACTTGCTAAATGGAGGTAAGTTGCCCGGGAAGACCTCAGAAGACCACCTATGAGGGCCTCTGGCTCAGCTACAGCAGCAGCTGAGTATGTTTTCTTCTACTCTTTTTGAAATTGTTAAATTTGTGCTAAGTTAGGTGAATTGAGCAAAACCAAAGCTTTGGTGGTGTTAATTTCCCAGCTGTTTCGTCTGTCTACATATCACTGTGGTGTCTCATTGGCTCGTCTTGTCTTCACCTCCCACACATACAGTCCCTTCTCCATATTATTCCTGTGTGCTGGCCCTCCCTCTGTCTGTAGGTAGGGCTATAAAAAGGAGCAGAGTAGATGATGTAGTCCACCCAAATTACTGTACTGACCTGAAAAATGTGACCTGAGAAATATTCTTCTTATCCTTTTTTTTCCTTCTTCCCCCCTCTGCACACTCTTGTTCTTCTTGCATCCTCATTGCGGTGTCACCCCATCAGTCTATCGTCACGCCACCTCCCTTTTTTGTTTTTTAAACCACCTCCTTCCTGACTCAAATGGTTATGTCTGATTCATTCAGATGGAAGCGTGTTTCCACCAATGGGGAAAAATATCCCCGACACTAGCTCACTCAAAACCGTGTAGTGGACAGCATCAGTCAGCTTTCAGTGTTTAGTAAACACGAACAGTGCTATTCTCAGTATATGAATATGCAAAGTACTCAGCACTTTGCATATTCATGCCTGCCAGCTGTAGCACTGGCAGCTGATGCCAGTGAGTAACAAAGCAATGGCGTACCTTTAAAAAAGGCTTCCCGATTTTTCTCTAAATTTTGACTTATTAACTTGAAATTTTGAGAAGCATAACTCAAAGTTTAGGATTATGGATGCAATCATTTTTTTTTCTTTTCCAGTTGCATAAACTAGCCTCCCTGCATTCTCCTCTTCCTCAACACAATTGTTCTCCTGCCCGTCACATTCGGCTGCCACCTCTCTCCTTTGCCTCACAGGCCATCTCATCCTTATCCACAAACCTGTTACCAAGGCAACTACACAGCACGATGGGAAACATCAGTGACACACACCACATCGGAGTTCACTTTACTGTCTGGTTGTTATTTAATTAAAGTGACAGAAAATCTGCGTAGCTGACTCGTTGCCGTGATGACAGTGTTTTACGTCAGTGACAGAATACTGAAGAATACTCTTCCTGCACTGTAGGCTTTTTTAAAAGCATGGTAGAAACCATAAGCTTTGGTTTTCACAGAGATGAATTTATTACCCCTTAAGAATCCATCCACTCTAAATATAATCCAAAAGCTTGCATTAGTCATACAAATAAGGAAGTGTGGTAGAATGACGAGTCTCCTGAGATTGCTCCAAGTGGGTTATCATGATTTCAGTGAGGAAATGAAGCTCTCTGGTATTGGCACGCTTTGTGTGCTACAGACTACAGACAGAGTGTAATAAGCGCTGGATTGGGCCTAGCTGTGAGAGAAAGGATTAGCTCAGCATGTAGCCGCACATCATCATGCAAGCTGCAACGTGCGGCCGGTGAGCGCAACGTGCCTCTTGATAGATAGATAGATCTTTAGATCGATAGATGGATGGATAGATAGATAGATCTTTGGATGGATAGATAGATAGATAGATAGATAGATAGATAGATGGATAGATCTTTGGATCGATAGATGGATGGATAGATAGATAGATAGATCTTTGGATGGATAGATAGATAGATGGATAGATAGATCTTTGGATCGATAGATGGATAGATAGATAGATAGATCTTTGGATGGATAGATAGATAGATCGATAGATCTTTCGATCGAGAGGCACGTTGCGCTCACCGGCCGCACGTTGCGGGGGAAAAGCCCGTTCTAACGTTTGAGTCTAAGGTT